GGGTAACTAAATATGCATGCAGAATGTAGTGACTGAATAATCGGTGAAGTGTGAAGGCATGTAAGCAGTCACCCTATATTTGAGATATATCTTCATTAATAAATGTTGTTGAATTTTTTAAAAAGGTTATTTTCAAGTTTGATGTTAATAGATTTTGACCAATTACATAATTTATATAATTGTTTATACAGTTTTTGTGTTACGTAATACCATGTACCATATTTTCTGTAAAACTAAAAAATGTATTTTAGTTAAAAAGACTGCAAGATTGGATAGCAGGTTGTTGATGGAGTTTCTCTTAGACTGAGGTTTGGTTACTGTGAGCAGTTTTATATTTCTCAGGTCTTTCCCACTTCTCAGATTACAAAACTTGTGGTTAGATAGAGAAATATGACCAATATGAATTGCTGTAGTTCATTGCATTTAGTGCACACTTGTGTGTATGTATATTTTTCTCTCTTTTAGGCTTCCATGAAATCAAAAAGTAGATTTGTACAGAATAGGTTTGTGTTCCTGGTTCCACTAATAGGGAGGAGCCAATTTTTGAATATGAATCAGGGATGAAGCTTTAGAATGATGTTTAATATATTGTGCTAGAGTCTGGTCTGTCAGTATTTCTTGTATGTGTAACTTATGCACTAAGGGTAGGTGTAGAGATGTGTGTAATAGGATGGACCAAGGAAGAAATGCCCATTTAATACAGTGAGTTATTGGCTTTAGATCAGGATGTAACACTATAAATTCTGAGAAAATATGTAACCTCCTTTTCTTTCCATGCTCAGTTTTGCTTTACTTTAAATCAACTTTTAGGCAGTCCAATAGTGTTTGGTTTTCATTCACGTTTTGGAGACTGGAAGCATGGATACACAAATTTTATGTTATTTTATGTTTCTTTGAAGTAGATTTAGAAGGAAAAAAGTCAGTTCTTACGTTACAGAAAATAGAGGCTGATGAATTAGGGAAAGATAGTGAACTGTTACCATTAAGGTGACATTTGAAATGGTAAAGATAAAGAATCTGTACTTTGATTTTAAAGCACAAAGCTATGAGGCACAAAGAATTCCGAGTTGATGTTTCAGATTTAATAGCCAGTATCTCTCGATGAAAATATTTAGGCATTTTATACTTTTATGTCTTCAAATCTATAAAAGCTTAGGGTTTTACTAAATAGATTCTCTATATCAGGGTCCTCCTTGATATCAGTATATGCAATGTTTAATGTTGTGGTACTTGTTTGTTAAATGCACTTTTTTATCATTAAAGTGGTAATAGGTTGTATGTACTAAAACACATATAATAATCAGTTGCTCATGAAGAAACAACTGTTAACTTTTCCTCCTTATTTTTATAGTTAAAAAAAATATGTTAAAGTTGCAAAATGTCTTTTGGTGTTGATAGCAGACATTGGATACTAGTTATAAATTACTAATCCTGGTATTCTTGCCACTGAATATTAGGATTATCTCTGTGGTGAAGGTCTCATCTGCTTGCAGACTTAAAGATATAAACAAAGTTAGATATCTTCACGTTGTGGACTCATCTTTGTTCATGAGCTGACCTGATATTTATGATTGTGCAGTATATGTAATTATGATGTTAAGCAGGAATGAGTAAAAATATTTTCACTTGATTTGCCAGGATTAATATCAGTGAAGTTCTTGTGATTTTCCTTTATTTTGTAAATAGCTGTGATTGTTAAATAGTGAATAAAGTGTTTACATTGTCACTTGTGTATCATTAGTACAGATAACAAAAATATGTTTGGTTAAATAAATGATACAAAATAAAACATATTGTTAGGGACTGCTTCCAATTATTTCCAGTGTTCATAGTTGTACCATAATCTATATTTTCAAACACTAAACGTTATTGATTATGAAAAATAAAACTGCTTCTATGTTTTTGCTGAACTTTAATATCTAGAAGCAGTATAAAAAATCTAGAACCAATGTACACTCACAACAAATTTCTAGTTTCTGTCACGAACCTCATATATAATGTTGCTTTATCTTTTAACCCACTTTAACAGATAGAATCCTATCACATGGCTAGATCAACATGGAATGATATCATATCACTTTATGTGCAGTTGAGCATGCTCTAGATTGTTCCCTTGCTTGGCCCTGGATGTAGTAATTGAGGAAAAACAAAAGTAGGCTTAAAGCTTCTTTTTAACCTCATTACCTAAACAATCATTTATTCTACAACCAAGAGAGTAGAAAGTAAATTTATTTCCTTATTTCTAATTTTCTCCCCCAAGTGGTTGAGACCTATGCCGCCTGGTACATGGGTTGGTATGGTTTTTGGTAGATCCCATCATGAGTAAGTTGAAACATAATCAGTGGGTTGAATAGTGTGTTCGCTCTTCTCCTTTGGGAGTTATGGACCTAGACCTAGAATCTACCAGAGGAATTATTAAGCCTAAAGAAGCATAGTCATTCCAGGGATGATGGAGATACCAGCAAGAAAGTGAAGGACAGTTGTCTTTATCATATGTTCA